TCCTTGTGTGTAGATGCACCGAGGACGAGCTGAGAAACAGCGCCTCTCAGATAGACACGTTAACAGTGCATTAACCAAAACAAACGGCGACCAGCAGTTAACAGGAACGCTTTAAATACTGCAGGGCATACCTAACAGCACAAAAGAGAGACGCGGCAAGCAAGCACGCTCCCTGTGAAAGCCCCGCCATGGTTCTCAATGCTGTTATTTTAATCTGCAGTTGGCATAAATGGAAAAATACGCAGAGGAGATCGCATCAAGACCTAGCGACTCTTCCTTCCTGCCCAAGGGAGGTTCGTTTTCGGTTCCAAATGACTTGGAATGTATTTATCCAGAAATATATTCAGATTAAACGCAATTTACAATTTTATTAAAAAAAATACATCAGGAGATGCTTCTCGATGTTAATCTTGGAATTCACCACTTGCTTTCATGTAAAATAATATATTTCTATATTCATGAAACTGGTTTATATTCCTTCCAACCTGCAAACAGATCAGCAATATAAGTTTAAAAATAGTCCATCTGGCAAGCTTTACAACGTGCAGTACGATTTGCATAAACCTATATAAAAAAATTTATCAAAATAAAGTTTAAATGAAAACACAAATAGAAAATGACGCAGCATATAGAATCTTAATGCAACACAAGTAGCAGCACTCCTGGCATTCTGCGGCCTATCGTGACTTGTTCCCATTCTCCGGTTTATTAAATAATTCCTGCTACATCAAATGCGAATTCATTTCCATTTTTAAGTTTTGAACCAAACGGAGAACTTAGATGATTTGGTATTTCCCGCTTTATCGCATTTTCTGGAACGCGGTTACAGGCCTTCCATTCTACAGTCTCCTCCACACTGACCGGGCATGTTTCCACACAATAAATAGCGGCCTACAGCGGCTCGTAAGGAGCCGGCGAGGCCTCCCAACCCGCGGCGCGGCAAGGGGACGGCAGCCACACGCGATCCGCGCGGCGGAGCCGCAGGGAACACCCTCCCATGAGGCCTGGGCAGAAGAAAGGCCGCAGCCCGCAGCGCCCCC